GCGGCGGTGGCTTCCTCAGTCCTTTGTATGTACCAGGCATTGTTCCAAGCACATCGCATGTGTTAACGCCTACAGTGCTCACAACCCCATGACAGGCACAGAGAGGTTACAGGACTGACCCAAAGTTACAGTTCATATGTGCTCACCCTCTGACGTTAAAAGAGAATTCTCACCTGATTCCTTCCAGTGCTTGTGTGGTATTGTGTTTCACATTTAAATCTCTCCATTTGGAGTTCTCCCTGCTATAAGCATGAGATAAGGACCCAATCTCATTTTTTTCCTGATGGCTCCAGTTATTCGCAGCACTGTTTCCCCACTATTTCCAGATGCCAGCTTTCCCACGCATGAAAGTCTTGAATGATTCGGGCCTATTTCTGGACTTTATTCCATTGTCTGCCTGTATAATCAAGTGCCAGTGCCACACTTTTAATTCTTGAGGTTTTATGATTTGTGTTAATATTTGGTAGGGTTTCATCTCCTCATTACGTTCCTTCTCACAGCTATCCTGGGTATTCTTGACTTGTTTATTTTTGCACATTTCTTTTTTTGATTGTGGCAAAGTATATACTGCATAAAATTTACCATTTAACCATTTTTAAGTGTGCAATTCAGAGATATTAAGTACCTTCACCTTACTGTGCTAGCCTCACCACTATCCATTTTCAGAACTTATTTTTAATCTATTTCTAGGACTTTTTAAAATCATTCCAAATGGAATCTCTGTACTCATCAAACAATAGCTCCTGTTCTCCCCTCCCCCTAGACCCTTGCAACCACCGTTCTCCTTCAGTCTCTATGAATTTGACTATTCCAGGTACCTGATATAAGTGGAATCACACAGTGTTTGCTCTGTGGTGTCTGGCTTATTTCACTTAACAGAATGTCTCCAAGGTTCATTCACATTGTAGCATGTATCACTTCTTCATTCCTTTTCATGGATGGATAAAATTCTATTGTATGTCTATGCCACATTTCGTTTATCCATTGATGTTGATGGACACAGGTTGTTTCCACCCTTCGGCCATTGTAAGTCATGCTACTATGCACATAATGCTCCACATTAATTTCAGAACCAGTTTGTCCAGGTCCAAACAAAAAAAAAACCCTTCTGCTTTTATTAATATAATTACCCTCTACTTCCCACCGCCACCCCATCCTTCCCCCATACACACACCTCCCAAGGGTTACTTATTGTTTGGTTCAATCACAATATGGCCCAGATACCTTTCTGGGCTTTTCTTCCATCCCTGCAGAGCCGCCTGGGGTTTTGCCTGCCCAGCATTCTTTCCCTTTCTACTAGTCAAGTCTTCCACTTGGAAAACCACCTCCCTTTGCTGTCAATCCTTGACTCCAGCCACTGACTTCAGGCATTGGTTCTGAGAGAATTTTCTGGAACTTTTCATAATGAATTGCTCTTCTTGCACATACCTATCGACCCTATCCTCCTCCAGCCTAATGGAGCTTCCCGGGTGTCCCCAGAGTGTTCTGTGCCTCTGGAAGACCCTTCTTGCCAGCCACCTCCCACACTGGCCCCTCTGGGAAGCCTTTCTGCTTCTCTCTTGTCTGTGACTCCAGGGCTACTGGCCACCTTCCGCTGCCACTTAGCCCCTCCATCCTGTTTAAGAGCCATTTTTGCATCTCCCTGACACCCCCCACCCCCACCCCCTGTTGGCCGTACTCAGCTTGGGCACAGGTCCCTGTCTCTCACCTCTCCATCACCCACAGCATGCAGCGCAGTGTTTTTCACATAGTAGGTGCTGATCTGAATTAGGTTAAACCAGGATCATCTTCCTCTTCTGGCTTAGGCTCAAGTTAAGCAACCAAAGCCCTCCCACGCCAGGCCCAGGACCTCAGGGGATTGTTACTGACATCTTCCCGCTGGTGACCTACAATGTTCCTGCACAGCCTACTTCCCTTTAATGCCCAGCTTCGCATTCTGATCCGGGTCACCTGCAGGGTCCTATGTGTCCTGAGTCCCTGTGCCTGAGTCATCACCTTCCCTGTCCAACTCTGTGATGAGTTCTGAACTGCAAGAGGCGGGTGGGCTGCAGATAGGATCTCGTTCATACCTGGCCTACTGCGTGGGGGGCTCTCTCCCCCCTTCAGTCACAGTCTTCTTCCTGAAAAGTTCCCTGCAGCCTGGTTTTTTGTGAACATGTGTATGTTTATGTGTTTCACTGCATTTCATGCCCACCTTAATTATTTGTTTCTCTTTGAATTCTAAACGTTAAAACTCACTTATTCAACAAATGTTTCCTGGGTACTTCCTGTGTGCTGGGCATGCGCAGTGAACGACATAGGCAAGGTTACTATTCTCATGGATTTTACATCCTCATGGATGGGGGCAGGGAGCAGGCAATTAGCAAGGCAACATAAATTAGCACAGTAATTTCAGAAAGTGAGAAGCGCTAAGAAGAAGATAAAATAGGATAATGTGCTAGAAAAGGATTTGGGGATAGGTGGAGAATATTTTAAGTTTTGGTGTTTTTGCCTCCTCCTTTTAGAATCCAGCTTCCATGCTGTTAGGAAGCCCATGCTGCCACGTGGAAAGACCCAAATAGAGGATAATTGAGGCCCTTAGCTGAGCTCCCAGCAGGAAATAAATAAGGCAATGAATTAGAAAGCAATGGGTGGGGAGGCAACTTCAGAGGTTGATTAGAAAAGGCATTTTCAATGAGGTGGTATTTGAACTAAAATTTGGGAAGTAATTAGGAGATAGCCATACAGTGATTGGAGAAAGAACAGTCTAAGCTGAAGGAACAGCATATGCAAAGCGCCTGAGGAGGGAAGTGTTTTTTTGTTGTTTGTTTGTTTTTGAGACATGGTAGGGGGTAGAGGCATGATATAGGTTGGAAAAGCAGGCCATGATCAGATCACGTAAGACGGTTTAAGAGCAGTGGGAAGTCACCAGAGGGATGTGGTTTGCATCTCATAAAGGCCTCCCTGGCTAGGCAGAGGGAAAAGGTTGTGGGGAAGTGCCCAAGGGCAAATGAGAGGAAGAGCTAGTCTACAGTGGGGACTCCCAGAACTTCTCACTCTCTGAAATTCCAGTGCTAATTCATGTTTCCTTGCAAACATTTAACCTGCGGAAGAAGCCAGCATACAAAAAAGACACATTGGACATGATACAGATGGGGACACTCAAGTCCAGAAAGGTCAAGTGACTTGAGCAATTGTACAGAACTGATCCAGAAGTCCCCGAGGGCTCATGAATCAGATCAAGGAGACTGAGGGGATGTGCTGCAAACGCCATTTAGTTTAATTCCCCCATTTTGCTTCAGTCACCAATTTGGTAAGAAGGGAATTTCAACCATCTGCAAGTAATCCAAATGCTTTACTAACCTGCCTACCTATCCACCCCCACAAAAAAAGAAAAAAAGAAAAAACGAAAAGAAAAATAGAAGCCAATTCCTGAGCTTGTATGCCTGCATTCTCCACCATCATTTCTCTGTATTACAGCTTTTGTCTTACATTATACATGAATAACTAATCAACCAAACACAAACCCACTGATGTAAAAAAAAAAAAACGCATGTTGGATCTAGAATGTGAGCAGGGTAAAGAGTAATATTAATTTCACTGGTAAATAACAAAACGAGAGCAAACATGAGCAATGTTAAGAAAAGAATCATGTTTTCAAACACTTCTGGGGAAGGAAACGTCACAAGAAACAAGGGAAAGGGGGAAACTAGGCTCGGGTTCACCATATTTAGAGGGCACTAACGCTGTTCTGTTTTTCTTCTGGCGTTGGTAAGCACAAAGAACATCACCCTGGGTCGACCAGCTGGCCATTTAAACCACCATCTGTCTATTTCACCCTATTGAACAATTTGTATAATCTTCCACTATTTCCTAGTGGACATATAGGTGTTAGTCTTTTTTTTTTTTTTAGGAAATGCATTTTATTTTATTTATTATTATTATTATTTGGTGTTAGTCTTAACTCACCAACCAATATTGAAGTGGACTCCAACAAAGTCTTATGTTTCTTGAACACCCATAGTGTGCAGCTCCATGCTAGGTAGGTGTAGGACATCAATAAGTGCACCCTTCCACAGACTTCCTAAATGAAGTCCGTCTCTGCTTCCATAACTTTCCTAAAACATGGTTATTGACCACTAAGGATGAGCTCCTGATCTCCCCTTCCAGGGAGTAGTCTGGAGTTTCCCTCTTCCTCCGCCTGGACTTCTTGGTTGCATCGGACAGCGTTGAGACCCTTCAGTTGTCTTGCGTGCCTCTGAACTTTCTTGGTTCTAATCTTTCCTGACTCATGGCCTCTCCTCCCTGACTGCCAGTGATTCCTTTTCCTCCTTCTGCACTTGCAAGTACATATTCCACAAAGACTCTGTTCTTCTCTCTGGTCACTCTTTCCCCATAATAAATTAATTGCATCTCATTTCAAATCAATTCATGTATATATCACCATCTGTCGCACTATAGGCAATGTGCCTATTTATGGGCCTGTCTGTCCACCTAGACTTCAAGCTCCTCTTGGCGCCCCAGTGCCTGGCACAGAGCTGACAGTAAGTAGATGCTCAGTACACACCAGCCCAAATGAGCAGACTCTGTCCGTCAAACTATGCTTGTAGATAGATTGGGTAGAGCATATGATCCCCATCATATAGAGAGGGCTTCCCCCAAAAGCTCAAGGAGGTTAAGTCAACATTGAAAACATGATTCCTGGTCCCGACTACTGAGATTCTGTGTCTTCAGTGCAATAATCATTCTGATCGTACCAATTGTAAAAGGACTGTCAGGCTAATCTTGATGCTGTCTAAATACCGGCATCCAATCTTTTTCATGCTCTTCTGAACAGGCTTAAATTTGCCAGTGTCTCTCTTAAAATATAGCCTGCAGGACTGAGCATAAAGCTGCATGTGGCCTGACCCGCACTGGGATTATTGCTTCCCTCCTTCCACCCTCTGCTGTTCTATTAATAGAGCCTAAGATTGCATTAGGGTTCTCAACAGCCTCCTTGCGCTGGAGGTTCGCATCAAGCCTGTGATCAGCTAACCCCCCGGGTCTTGCTCATGAACGCCTTCTGTCAAGCCAGGCCTCGGCCATCAGCCACTGGGGCAATTGATTTTTTTGAATGCTCATGATTATCTATGACTCAGACTCGAAGCTACAAAACAAGGTCTTGCCCTCCTTTCTTGTGTGGCATCTGCTGAGTGGGTGTGAGGTCTTGGGGGCCTGTTCAGAAGCCAGAGGCATGGCCGGCCGCTGGTGAGGAGGTCTCCAGCATGATTTGATCCACAAATAGCAAGAGGATGGTAACAAAACTCTGGTTTGCTTCAAATGATTCTTACGTTGATTCTTTCTCCTTTTGGATTATGGTCCCTTGTTCATCTTGTTCTAATTCTGGGTGTTTATACACGGAGTCTCTTGTTCCTCTCACCCATGGGCACAGCTACACTTCTACTTCTTATGCCTTCTCCAAGTGGCATTATTTTTAGCATGAGTGTCTTGCTCAGCAAGTTGCTCTACGGCCTGTCCTGTACTGTCCCCACCTATAATCTTTTCTCATTCTTTCCCTCCCTCTGTCTCTGTGTGTTGATAGTATGTTAATCTCGACCTACCTGAATCCTCCCTTTGGAGATTATATGCGTCTTCCCTCTTCTTCCTTCCCTTTTCACTAGTTTTTTTCGGCCACTCAGAATTAGCTGTTTGGTAGTTGTAGAAGCTTCAGTGTGGGCTGTTGTGGTGGGTTTTGGTTTCAAATCCAGGAAATCTCTGGGTATGTGGGGCTTGGGTCTCAGAATCTGACAGGAAGGTCCTAACGTGTGGAATCTGGGGGCTCTGAGGCGAGAGAGTCACAGCTTCTCTTTCCTCAGCCGGTAGAGGGAACTGAAATGCATGGGCGCAAGTAAGCATTCCCACCATCCACCAGAAGAGGGCGTCATCCCCACAGTCCTCCAAGTTGGAATTTCTCACAGAAATCCATCTTGCCTAGGTGGTCTCCTGAAGACTCAAAGATAGGATGGGATGACACGACAGCCATGCTACTATTGATGCTTTGGCCACCTCCAATACTGTGCAAGTGGTAAAAAGCAAACCATTTTGAAGAAGCGGACCCAACATTGGTCCAAGCTAATGGGTGGGTTTGAGGGCCTGAACTATGAGCTCGTTGCTGGCAAATTGGCAGCCTGGTGGGGCTGTGAGGCTAGGAGTGGAAATGACTACGAGAACGTTTGGAAGTCACGGATGTAACTTGCAGAGTGTGTGAGGGGGCCTGGGCGGAGGGGCCCTGCGTATTTCCAGCTGTGACATTTAGAGTTCTGTTTGGCAGGGCAGGTCATGGTGGGGATGGGGCAAGTTCCCAAGTGGGTGTAGACGTGTAAGGGAAGGTGACGGTGGCACCGTGTCAACCATTTCCAGGTGGAGTTAAAAGGCATAGCCATTTTCTTCTGGGGGCCCCGGCACCTTTCATCAAGACTAAGTTGGTAACTGATTAAAAAAAAGAAACGGAAGATTAAGCCCGAGAGGCCAGAGGAGAAAATGGTTTCCAGGTGGAAAGGACTGCTACTCTATTAACACCATCGGGTGGTGTTCAGGCAGGCCACTGTTCTCCTACCCTCCTAGGCATCGCTGGGAGGCGGCCAGGCCTTGGAGGCAAAGGGCTCCCTAACTGCCAAGCAGTGAAGACATTTAATAAAATATTTACCTGTGTGTATAAGAATAATGATGACAGAATGACAAACAGCGGTTAAACAGCTTTAAGGTGCACGAGAGAGCAGCCATGGGACATTTTTAAGGAGTATGGTAGCTTTTTGTTTAATTCCTGAGGCTTGTCTCTTATGCCTACCATACCCAGACTCATATGAGAGAGCCATGGTTGGGGAGGGGGCACACCAAGATGGCATAGACTGTTCCTGCAGGAAGCTGCCACCCAAACGGGCTGGAGCCAGCCTAACTCCCAACCCCAAGCTACTTGTCCACCCCTTGCAACTCTTGAAGATTAAAGATGTCCAATTCCTGTCTCCACCACACGCCTAGAAGGATTCTTAGCTGTGGTCATTCAATGAATGATATTGCTATTAAGAGTCTGACCTGTTCTTATTCATTTGGGCTTGTAGGCAGCATTTGCCCTGGTTGGGTGTGATAATTCTGAGGTGGAGACAAGAAAGAGAAAGGCAGAGGGGACAAAAGGAAGCAAAACTCTTCCACCACATACCAGGTTTCTAGCTGTGTCCAGTTCACAGCTAGAAAAGAAAAAATGAAAAAATTTGGCTGAACACATTTTATGTTTTTACCTCCATTAAGGAGCTTTTTGCATTTCCCTCCCCAGTTTGGAAAATAATTTTTTTTCTCTATCATTTAAATTTAAAAACTTTTTATGTCTCTATATCAAATAGTGTTTGGAAAAAATAGAATTTTGCATTCTCTTGGACTCATACCCTCTGCCTTTTTTTGGTGTTTTTTCCAGATATTTTATACTTCCAGTTATGACTCTGTTAGAAAGATACCATCTTGGCTTTCCCATGTCATACGTATCTAAAAGAAGCACCAACTTAGGATCTGTGTGCACAGGCTTATTTTCTATTTTTTGGAAGAAAACAATCTAGTCCTGAACTTAAGAGCATGCTCAGAAGTAACAATTCTTGAGGAAAGAAGCTATTTATTTATTTAAAGGGAAATACAAAAGGCCCATTACTTTTAGATGTGGAATTTATACTTGGTGAAATTTTCATGAATTAAAAACCCATTTCACTAAATATTTTCTGGTAAAAATATGGTTTGGTTTTTTGGTGCCAAGTCTGCTAAGTCTATTCTTAAGAGTAAGTCTTGTGAGAATACAGGAGACAGATAAAGTGAACAGACTCTTTAATCAGTGAGGCGCTCGGCGTGGCAGTGAAATGCAATACCAAAAAGTAAACAAAGAGCATTGTGTGAAAAGGAGCGCATTTAAATTAATCTTGCTTTTCCAATATGAAAACATGCTCACGGTTGTTAGTAACTGAGTCAAGACATTTAAATCATATATATATACTTTAATATCTTTACAGTGACCTTTCATAAGTGTGCAGTGGGGATAAGAAGATGAGCAAAGATATGCTACGAAAAGAGCATTTTAGGTAATTGAACATGAAATGTGTTGCAATCTGATAACATTAATGATACACAATCACTACTTTATATCTAATATGTAGCTCATTTGGCCAGAGTCTAACTAAAGCATTCCATAAATGTTAGCGTATAAATCCTGTTACAAACCTATAAAGTAAGCAGCTCTATTTTGGTGCATTTCGGAGTAGCTCTGTATTAGTCATCTATCCTGTGTAACAAATTACTCCAAAACTTAGTAGCTTCAAACAAGAAGTATTTATTATCTCACACAGGATCTGAGGGTTATGAATTAGGAAATGCTTAGCTGAAAGGTTCTGGCTCAGGGTCTCTCATGAAGTCGTAGCCAAGATATGGGCTGGGGTAGCTGTCATCTGAAGGCTTGGCTGGGGTGGCAGATCCACTTTTAAGGTGTCTAACTCACAATTCTGGCAATTTGGTTTGGGTTGTTGACAGGAAACCTCCATTCTTCTCTACGTGGGCCTCTCCATCGGGCTACTTGAATGTCTTCAGGATGTGGCACCTGGCTTCCCCCAAAGCAAGTGATCCAGAGAGGTAGCAGCCACAGTGCCTTCTATGACCTGGCCTCAGAATTCACTCACCATCGTTTCCTCCATATTCTGTTTATCAGAAGACAGTTACTAAGTAGAGCCCACGCTCAGGAGGAGGGGAATTAGGCTCTACCTCTTGGAGGAGTATTAAAGAATTTGTGGACATATTTTAAAATCACCATGACCCTCTCTTTACAGATGGGGCAGTTGAGACTGATGGTGGCTTATCAGCTCAAGGTCACCGGGCTACTAGTTAAGACCCCACATGCAAGGCAGCAGGCCATTTTATTTTCCTTCTGCTGTGCCATTCACACACAAAGCAAAACAGAAAACACCACATTCCTGAAATCACCGCACGTAAATCCAAAATCTGCCTCTTCAAAATGGCTGACATCTTCTACAAGCAGTAGAGGCTTTATGTTTGGCAATGAATGAAATGGACACTAGAATGGAAGGTAGGAGTCAGCTTTCCTCTCAGTCAGCTCCACAACCTTGAGAAAACGCCACTTGTCTCAGGGATGGTTTCCTACTTTGTAAAATCAGAGGGGCCAGCGGAATGGTTCCCAAACATGGTTACCCATCACAGTCCTCTGGGAAATGAAAGACTCACTGGCCTGACATGAAATCCACCCAATCACAACCTCCAGGGATCCACATAATTAAAAAAGAATCTGATGGGGCCGGCCGAGTAGCGCGATGGTTAAGAACTGGCTTGGGACGCCAGAGGGCCCTGGTTCGGATCCCACATATGAGGACCAGTGACACTGCCCTCTACAGATAAGATGCTGAACAACAGCTCAACCTGGAGCTGGGATGCTGTGAGTTGCCGGCGATGGCGTAGGCTGCAGCCCCTGTGGCAGTGGGTTGCCATGGGCTACCGTGTGTGGCCAGCAGCCAGCATGAGCGGCCGGCAGTCGGTATGAGCTGCCAAGAGCCACTGTGAGTGGCTGTCCAGAGGTGGGCGAGCAACTGCCTTATTCAGGAAGAGTGCAATGATAATACCAACATGGGCCAGTGAAGCAACATCCTCCACAACTAGACTGAAGAACAAAAAAAGGACAGCAACTTGTCTGTTCCCCTTCCCCCGATTCCCTAGCACTGTTCCCCTCCCCCAATTCCCCAATAAAATCTCTAAAAAATAAATAAATAAATAAATAAATAAGTGGGGAGATGGAACTGACATCCTCACATAAAGCTAGAACCCTCAAAAGGATGAGTCATTATAGAAATAATTCATTGGAAAGAAATCTTCCCAGTGGCACAGTGAGACAAGAAAACTTGACTGTCTTGGCATGAGTGGAAAGTGTAGAAAGAAGTCTTCACTGAGAATATGAGACTACAGCTCAGGCTTCATGTAAATTTGGGGCTAGAATATGTCCTACCTGTATGGTTCAGGAACCCTGAAGGTGGAAAATGAAGATAAAAATACAGTCCCAGCGCCAAAATACAAAACATACGTGGATGGATACAATCCACCAAACCAAGATGTGGTAGATGTGAGTCCCAGGAACCTCGGACAACAGACCTGTCAGACAGACCATAAAATAAGTGAGTTAAAAATTATTAAAGACATAAGAGAACATTTGAAACTGTGAGAAAATAGCCTAACGTTATGCAAAAGGTAGATATGGAAGAGAAATTCTAGAAATTATACATACAGTCATTGAAATGAAAAGCTCAGTGGATGAGTTCCATTGCAGATTACACATAGCTGAAGAAAACACTGCAAATGGATCTGAGGAAATTGCCCAGGAAGCAGCAAAGGGTGACAAAGTGAAGGGAAGGCTGAGAGAAAGGTTCAGAATATGCTGCATGGAGGAGGAAGACGCATTATACCCCTAAGGTGAGTACCAAAAGGAGAGAATGCAAGAGAGGCAGGATTTAGAAAGACTAGGGCAGAAAAATTTCCAGATTTGATAAAAAACATGAATCCTGAAATTTTGGATATACAATGAATCTTGAACCAGAGAAATGAAAAGAAATTCATACCTGAACACAGCATAGGAAGAATGTAAGAAGCCAGAGACAAAGAGAAAAATCTTAAAACCGGGGGAAAAAAGTAGATTACCTACAAAGGAATGACATTCAGACTGACAGCAAATGTCTCAACAATAAATAGAGAAACAAGAAGACATGACATATTAAAAAAAAAAGTGCTGAGGGTAAAATAACTTTCAATCTAGAATTCCACATGCAGAGGAACCATCATTCAAGGATGAGTGAAATAAGACAATTTTATATTAATGGAGAAAGCATGTCACTCATGTAACCTGAAAAAATTACTAAAGGATATGTTTCAAGGAAGAGAGCTGGTACCTAGAAAAAAAAAAAGGGATAGTATGCTAGAAACAAAGGTGAATAAATTGGTAAACATGGGCACATCTGAGCAATGACTATATAAAACTAAAATGACAAGTGATTAAATTTAGAGATATGAAAACCAGGTGAGTCTAAAATAACAAGCAACTCTAATACGTAAAAGGGAAGATGTAGTTGAAGCATCACTCTTAGCTTATTGTATAGTTTTCGGGGGGTTGGATCAAGTGTACACGTTAAAAATTGTAATCACTAAAAGAATAGAAATAGAACTTACAACTTCTAACTTAGTGAAAGAGAAAAGGGGGACAGAAAAATTCTTGATCAATTCAATAAGATAGAAGAAAGGAAGTAAAAAAAGAGAAAGCAGAAGAAATAAAAGGTGCAAAATGAGAATGAAGATGTAAATTCAAAAATGTCAGAAACCAGTGGATCACCAGGCCGTCTTATACATTGCTAGTGGGAGTATAATGTGGAATAACACTTTGAAAAATAGTTTAGCATTACCTATCAAGTTTTACATTCACATATCTTATGATCCAGTAATCACTCCAAAGAGAAAGTCTTACCCACATACAGCAGAAGACAAGAATGTTCATTATAGCCCTGCTTGTAACTGCAAAAAATTAGAACTCAAAAGCTGATGACAGGAGAATGGACAAACTAAATTGTGGCATAGTCATAAAGAAATATTATACAACCATGAGAAAGAATGAACTATATAAGCAGATGCAACAATCTAGTTGAATCTCAGTAATACCACGTTAAGGAAAAAACCTAAACCTCAGAAATTTTTCACAAAATTTTAAAACAAGTAGGTGATAAAAATTTGATAAAACTGTAAAAAGCAAAAGAATAATAAATACAAGATTGAGATTGGTGGTTACTTCAGATGTGGGAACAGGAGAGGAGCACATAGGTAGTTGTAAGTCATTGTTACTGTTTTATTCTCTAGTAGAATAATAGGTTTACAAGTATGCACAACGTTAAAAAATAAAATAAGGGGCGGCTGGTTGGCTCAGTTACTTAGAGCACAGTGCTCATAACACCAAGGTTGCCGGTTTGATCCCCACATGGGCCACTGTGAGCTGCGCCCTCCACAACTAGATTGAAACTTGGCTTGGAGCAGATGGGTCCTGGAAAAAAACACTGTTCCTCAATTTAAAAAAAAATATATATATATTATATATATAAAAAAATAAAAATAAAATAAAATTAAAATTAAAATAAGACCATTTATATACCCAATGATGAGTGTGTTTATGCTAGTGATTCTGATTATATTTTTGTGCCCCTAAGTTTCATGAACAAATATCAGCATTCACATGAAATGTAAATGGACTAAACTTACTTGTCAACCATATAAATAAATGAATAAGATTCAGCTATCTACTGTTTACAAGAGACTCACCTAAAACTTAAGACTTTTGAAAAAGGCAACAGAATAAACCCAAAGAGAGCAGAAGGAAGAAAATTATATAAGATATATATTAATAATACACAATATAGTATATCCTTATCTATGGTATATATTTATACATATATGTTCATATATGAGTATGATATATACTATATAAAAGCAAAAATTAATGAAACAGAAAAAATCATGTTTACCAAACTAAAAGCTGATTCTTTGTAAACACTGGTAGAAAGTAGAAAGAAACACTAGTTAAAAAAGGGAGATCTCTGGCACAACTGATCCAGAAAAGAGAAGATACATATACAATATTTGGAATGAAAAAAATGGACATTACAGATAGATGCAGCAGACAAAACATGCTGAGAAAACTACGAATAGCATTTTGTTAATAAATATGACAGCCTAGATGTAATGGATAATTTCCTTGAAAAATTGACTCAAGAAGAAAATAAAACCTAAAGAGATCCGTAGACATTTAAAGAAATGGAATCAGTAGTTAAAAATCAACCAAGGAAATGTTTATTCCAGACCCAGACATTTTACCAGCAAGTTCTACCAAACATTCAAGGAACACATAATTCCAATTTTATACACACTGTTCCAGAAAATGGAAAAAGAAGGAACATTTACCAGTTCATTTTATGAGGCCAGTATAACCAAAGGCAATATGAGAAGGAAAAATTACAGTCACTATGACTTATGAACATGGATATAAAAAAAAATCCTACAACGAAATTAGATGTTGAGCACTCATTCATTCATTCATCATTCATTCATTCATCCTTTCAGTCATTCAACAAATATTGGCAGGCACTGTGCCAATACATGGAGAGCAGAAATGGAGCTTATGGCTTGGTGAAGGAGGTGAGTAATAAAGCTAATGATCACTCCAGGTAAGGACATTCTGGCAGGATAACAGTGCACATCAAGGGGGATTTGACCAAGTCAAGGAAGTTAAGAAAAGCTTTCCAGGCACATGAGTGGCATAAGAATGGGTGTCGGAAGAATGTTTAGGAGGCTATTGGGGCTCCAGTGGGAGATCTGGGATGCAGTAGCAAGAAAGATGCACTTGAGAGATATTTAGGAAGACATAACACCACAGACCACAGACCTTCATGATGGATTGCACATGGGAAGGGTTCAACTTGGAGAGGGGTCAACCTTGTCTCTAGGACGACTGGGGTTTTGTTCACTGATAGAGGGGCCCTTAAAAGTGGTTCCGATTTAGGGGAAAAGAGCAAGGTTTTGGACATGTTGAGTTTGGGGTACCTTTAGGAGGGCCAAGTGACGATGTCGAATAGGAAATGAACTAGAGCCTGAAGCTCTGTGTGGAGGTCAGGCTGGAGATTTTGAGTGAATATTTAAACCTATTCCTCAGAGGAGCTCACCCAGAGGGTGTGTGTAGCTGGGGGAGAGAATGAACACCAATATTTAAAGGAAAGGCAGAGGAGAAGGAGTCAGGGCAAAGAGACAGAGAAGGAATGGCTGTAGAGGTAGGAGGAAAACCAGGAGAACGCGGGTAACAAGAATGCCAAGGGAATAGCAGCTTCAAGAAGGGAGGGTCCAACAGTGTCACGGGCTGTCGCAATTTTAAGAGGGTGGAGGACTGACACTGCGCCACTGGAATTCTTCTGATTGAGGGGCTATAATAAGCGAGTGAACTGGAGAAGAAATGCATCATCATCACCATCATAATAATAAAAAATATCACCACCTATTACAAATAACATAGTGCCAAGGGGCAGCATGAGGGAATTTTTGGGGACGATGAAACTCTTCTGCATCTCGTTGATGGTGGTAGTTACCTGACTCCATGCAATTGTCAAAACTCATAGAATTATAGGTCATGAAGAGTAAATGTTAGTGCATATAAGTTAAAAATAAGTAAAAACAATGTAGTAATGGAGATTTAAGACCTAGCTCTCTCTTACTGACTTTGTAACTGCTGCTCTCAGGGTTTTAATTCAGTTGAGTGTCAGCTTGTGCAGGTCTACGATAGGGAACAAGGGTACTCTCACTTGTGAAGGACAGAATAAATACAAGCCAAAGGGCACTGGACTGATGGCCAGAGGCCCTCTTAGGAACTGACCTGGTGGTGTCCCGGGACAGACTCATGAGCTTGGATCCTCTGGGACCCTAATGTAAAATGAGGGGGTTGGATCTGGAAAGGTCTTTCTACCTCTGGTTGTCTGTGACTCTATGGTAAAAATTCCAAACACAATCCAATTGGCTCTGTTGTCTGCATTTCGTTATTGAAAAGTCTCATAATAAACAATTACCATAATAACAACTGGTTCTTGAACACGTCAGACCCCAGATGATTTGGGAAGCAGCTTGAAGTTACGGAAAATGCTTGGGCTTGTGAATTAAGGCTTTAAAGAACCTCCTAAAAAGCATATGAAGTAATGATTGATAATAAGCATGACCCATATTGGTTTTCTGTGAAAAAGGGACTTTTACATTTGTTGACTTCAATCCCTTCTCTCATCCATCCCATTAAGCCTGTCAGGGAGGAATTATTCCAATTTAGGAGACATGGAGATTAAAAGTCTGGCCACCCAAGGATTTGAGTGGTGTTGAATTTTTCTCAATATTCTACTTTTCCAAGACCCACAGTGGATTTGGTACAGTTTTGGTGTTGAGTGTATTATTCCATTATGTCCTAATTCTATGAAAATTAATGGAAAAGTGTTAATTGGGCATCGATTCATGCTTAACATTAATCTAATGTTGATGAACCACAACTTTGTTGCCCCTCATGCCATATTAACTCAATTTACTGTAATAATTTAAAACAATAGGGATAATTGTATCCCTATTGTTTTAAATATCCTACAAATTGAACCTGGCCTGAATTCGGCCAGCCTGAAATCTGAAGTGTGAGATGCCTTTGTGAAGCTACTAACATCATCTTTTTGGAATTTTTCAGTGCGAGAAGGGATGAAGGCCACATTTATTAAGCATCTACTATGTGCCCCACACAGCTCCTATGGTGTGTGTCTGAAGCTACTCTCAGCCACCTTCCCAGATGGTGGGGAGTCTTGGGCTATTTCAATCGCATGCATTTTACTATCTCGGTATAGAAATAATAAAAACATAATGAACCAGTCGGAGAGGGATTTCCTGAAATAACCACCCTTCCGAGCCATCCCAGAGACGCTCTAAAACTATTTTTCACTACAAAAATTTGCTTTGAACCCCAATTCTTTGACCTTGACCTCTATAAACCTATTTTATTATATTTTTAAACTGCTGTACGATTAACGCGGAAACCCTTTCTTCGGCACTTTCTCACCACTGGAATCGCATGTTTCTCAAAGTTCCAAAATAACCTTTCCCGGGCACGGATTCGTACCTCTGCCGGGGAAGGGCGGGGAGCGGCGCAAGACGTGCCGGTGTGGAGCGAGAGCCAAAGAGAACTTCCAGAGCGAAAGGAAAATAAAACTTGTGGCTGGTGTCTGTGTGAGAGGGTCTCCGCAATCCTGAAGCCCCCCGATCCTGGGGGGTCTCGGGGTCCGCTCGAGGAGCGCCAGGGTTTGGGTTTGATCCCGACGTCCTTGACCTAAATTTCTGCGCGGTGACTAGAAAAAGGGCGCAGAGGCGGGCGGGCGTCTGGTGCCATCCTCGGATCCCGGCGACCGCGGCCGGCGAACTTGAATGGAGAGGCCGAACTAACGGGGGTGGGGGGCGTCTTCTCCCTGGCCCGACTGAGGATCTGCAGCTACCTCCCCGCGCCTCTCCCTCCCCGGATCCACCCGCCCCGCCGTAGCCCATGTGATCTAGGAAAGTCGGGGTGCGCTCCCCCACTCCCGGCACCCGGCCCGCCCGGAGGCGGGGCCCCCTCCGGCAGCGAGGTTCGCGCACCGCCCCCGTGGGTCCAGCCGCGGGGGGCCGAATGTGCGCGCGCGGGCAGGCGGGGGCCGCACCGGGGTGCGTGACGTCACCGGCATTGGTTACACGACGTTCTAGAACTCCGCCCCACGTGCGCCCGGGAGGAGGGGGAGGAGGAGGAGGAGATGGGGGTGGGGAGGAGGAGGGAGAGAGGTGGGGATGGG